AGACGGTTTGAGTAATTGTTTTCTTCTCATTGACTCAAAACTAGAAAAAAAAAAAATGGGTTGGCTGCTTACGTCCTTATTCTCTAATTCATCAACACGACATCGTAAGCGAGTAACAGCGTTTTCTTCTGTAAGTTCAAGCTAGGAAACGTGAACCATAAAATCAGCACCTAAGGAAAATCGCAAGTTATCAGTATAGAATGATATCCCTAAAAAGAAACGCGCCGACGAGACGTACCATAATGCACCAGAGTGATGTGCAAGATCGAGATAGTCCACAAGAAAAGATGTCCTTGAATAGCAGGCGCTTGCGACTCTAACACGAAGGCCAATTGATACAGCGGGGGAAACCCGAACTTGCGCTTTAAGAGAATAAGAAGAGCGCCAAACATTATAACTTCTAGCACCGCATAGATAAGGATATTCGTCACTGTCGCCTTGAGTTTGCATATTGTCATCGTTGCCGTGTGTGGATAATAGGCCGCTACTTCTAAATGGAAAAGCACCGCGAGATACAGCGCGTACAGTATCGGAACCATAAATTCCACGTACTCTGCAAGAAGAACATATTCAGAATGGAAAAGCGCTTGGAGCGCATCTTGAATGCTGTCATCGCTACTAGCAGTGCTTGTTGTTGGCAATGATGCTGGCCTAAATTTTTGCGCTGGGTCTTCGACATGCCCATTAGCTGGGGCTACATGGTGTTGTTGTACTGGAACGGGTGGCTTAAGGTCGAACGAACTCGCCGGTCCAACTTGAAGGCTGGTTTTATTGACCACTTTGATCGCGCATGGTGCAGTATCATTGGCAAAACTCCCCGTTCTGGCTAGCTCGTTCATAAGCGCTTTGCTATCTACGGAAAGAGGAAGCGGAAACGGCGCAAATAGTCGAATGCGTCGATCATGACTCTGTGCCGGGCTTTCAAATTCTTTTCGAATCAGAGTTGGTAGGTCTCGAAGATAATTCTCAAAGACAGATACCTCACTTGCTCGGACACTGTTTGTACGGTAAAAAATAGCCCGCAATGCCAGGAGCACGTGGAAGCCATCGAACCCCATGAGAATCAACGTAGTAGACATGGATTTGGATGCCTGCATACAGATCGCAACGTAATAAACGTTAAAGAGATCCACGGAAAACACCACAATCGGACCGACATATTCGTGAAAACTGGTCGCTGAATTGGCAATGTTCAGCTTGGTGATACATTTGATCAATGGCATCACGAAGATGAATAAAGACTGGTTTATGCCCGAAAGGTAGTTGAAAACAGCGCTAAAAATCGGATAAGCCACTGCGACACCACTTTGGTTGGCCATAATAAATAGCTCGGACTTGATCTGTTGTCTCAAAACTGGAGACGAGGCCAGAGCACGCGGACCGAGGACGAAAATCATGTATATCACGAAAAATAGCACGTATAAGTTAAGCATGATCACGTAGCCATAAGGAATCGGGAATTTCCACATCGCAGCTACTGCTATTGTAACCAGCACACTGGAGATTGCTGTGCCTAGAGCGATAATGACAGCTCCAGTGCTTGACATGGCTCCCGGAACGATAACACCTCTTACTTGGAGTGCCACTCCTAGAGCTTCAGCAAAAATTGCAAGTAATAGTCGGATCCAGACTGCATAGTTCTCTCTCCAGCCATCAGAAGGAGGTCGCAATGGTATAGAATCAATAGCTAATGCCACGAGTAAGGCTGGAAGTGGCGATACTACACAGATAACAACTGCACGTGCTAACGAAGTGCGTTGGTAGTAATCGCGAAAAGCAAGCAGCCGCTCCACAGAGTATTCACTTCGGTTTCCAATCTGGCTACGATGCCACAAAGACGAGATCTTGCGCTTGAATCGAGAGTAAAAAGAGGTATACTCGTTTCGTTGCGAGTGCTTGGTAGCTGGTAGGGGCTTCAATTTGACTCGATTCATCAATGTCGTTTATGCAGCGCGCAGGAAACAGGGCACGAGTTCACGAAAAAAAAAATATGTCTAAACATCGTTTCGTGGTAACTCACCACACTCGCAAAGATAGCAAGCATCGCCTGCTTGATATAGATAGCACTGATACACAGCCACAACAACCATGACGGAGACAAAGGATGGCGACTCCGACGTGAAGCACTCGAACCGGCTGCGATTCTTCACGCCGCGCGAAGTGGCGAGTCATAACATGGCTACGGATTGCTGGGTCTCCATCAACTATCGCGTGCTAGATCTTTCACTGCTGATCGAAGAAAATCCCGGCAAGCAATATACATTTGTTCAAATGTATATTTCCTCTTCACCAAGCTAAAATCTTACACGTTTAGTATTCCTGTCACACAGGAACCCTGGTAGAACCGCTTATTCTCCACGCTGGCGAGGATATCTCCCACTGGTTTAATGCAGACACGGAAGATGTAGGTAGCAAGATAGATAACCTATCGTTCTTGCCACAGTCTCACATATCTCAATGTTACTCTAGGTAAAATACCACGTGGACCGCGAACGCAATTTATCCGTGCCCTTCGTGCCCTACGGGCGCTTTCTCCACGTACCCCCACCGGATCCTAGTGCTCAATGGTGCACAGCCGACCTGTTACCGTGGTGGCGTGACCCGAAATACGTGGTCGGACGACTGACCAAGAAAGCTCGTTGGCTCGAGATAGTCAACATGCTGACCCAACAGCGACACTCGCTCGAAGTGTGTTGCGAGGAAACTATCGCTGAGATCCAGACGCGGTATTTACAACTCAATGCTCACGCTGGCAGCTACACGTGGAAGCGGCTGGAAGATGACGAGTTCGTGCCGATGCATATGCAGCGCACATTAGACGAGAACGGAATTCCAGACGAATCGCCCATCTTCGAGCGCTTCGACATGGACGAACAGCAGTTCATGCCTACCCTCCACATCTACTATGACGATGATCTAACCGTCATGTAAGCCAGCAGCAGCGAAATAATCTAAGATACATACATTTTCATGAACTCTATTTTACACACCCAGACTCTACTGTAAAGAGTCGCTTGGATCTTACTCTGGACGAGATGATCACTCGGGTTGTGCCTTCAATCAAAGGGCAAAGTGATCCTTGCGCTTATGAGTCAATCGGCTTTCAAGGGCGACTGAGGCCGCCCGAGGACATTCTACGTCAGGCTCGGGCCACAAGGTAATAGCGTCACTTTTAAGTTTATGCTTTTTGTACCTAGTTGACGAGCTTCTTGTTTGTATTGTTCTTTTTAGTGTTACGGGAGTTCTAGGCCAGATCGGTTTGTTGATCGTACTTCCAGGTATACATTTTGCATAATGCTTATCCTCGTGTATCCTTATAGCATGCGTAGCTTCCTACGCTTTAGAAATCCTCCAAGAACTCAAAGATGAGACGATAGAGGTGCAGGATCGGATGGCCAAGCTACATCGACGTGTGGATGTTCTAGCAGAAGTTGTTGATGCTCAAATTCATCAGGGAGGAGGGAGGAGATTGGACCTCCTACACTTGCTGCCCTCTCAAGAGGAAAGTGACCATGTTCTCTGCGTACAGACAATCAGTAACCCGTCATACTCAGCTGCAAACGATCGCCCTACTCCTGTTGTTGAAGCCCACAATCGATGCGAAAGCGTTCCGCCTCTCGAACTGGTGAGTATTAAATACACATAGCGGTGTAGTTGTCGCCATCTAACATCGCTCATCTCGTCACTAGTTGGATAGTTTTTATGACTCCGAGAACCAGCTTGATAACAGTGTTGGTTCTGGTCCGCATACTGGATCGATTTCGCGGAAGAAATACAGTAACCCTGGTTTCTTCATGGAAGAATGGCTGAAGAATGAGAAGGAACGACAGCAACGAGCGTTAGAGATCAAGGAAGAGCGTCGTCGAGAACGTCGAGATGCTCATCATCTCCGCAAAGCTCGCGAATTGGACCAACAGCGACAGACTACGAGTTCTGAAGATACTAAAAGCTCAACTTTTACGAGCACTGAAGACACTGAGCAGAAGCTGAAATTCCTCAAGATCCGGTCATGGAGAGAAATCTATGGCACTGGGGAAGGTAAAGAACTAATGAAACATCAAAGTCGCAGTCCGACCCTGCGAGATCTACGCAGGAAAGCGCATCAAGGACTTGCTTCCATCACGCACAATCCACGAACTGAGGAACGTCAGCAACAACCGATTCCTCCACCACCACCTCCTCAAGAGGAACCACCTCACACTAGCCACCAGTCTCTCACCAATGAGCAGTTCGTTACGACTCCGCCCGATTCACCGTCGATCCCGACAACTTTGGGCGGCGCATTCATGCAAGAAATGGACGACGATGAGATTGCAATGGAGATGCAACTAGAAGGAGAGTTTGCGAACGGAATCCCGCCACCCCCGCCTCCTTTGCCTGACTCTACAAGCGCCGAGGAGTTCACTGACCACGGGTTGTCGTACTATTACGACCCAGCGACACATAATTTGGTACCACCACCTCCTCCCCCACCTGAACACGACGAACAGAGTAAATCAGACGCATACTACGACACATACGAAGAAGAAGACGATGATGTCCCTCCACCACCACCAATGGAAGAGTTCGAGCGCTCTCCACCTCCTCCACCGCTCGAACCACCTCGCACATCCAATCTCCTCGAGGAAATTCAGCTAGGGACGTCACTACGCAGCGCTAAAGACCGGAAACCCCACGGTGAAGCACCTGTGCGTCCTCTCACTCCTCAGGGAGCACTGCTACACCAGATCATGCAGAAACAAAGCCGACACTTACGTCACGTGGAGCCTCGCACCCGTCCACCAATACAAACGCGTCAGCCTACAGGCGCTCCGTTCTCCGATTCGATCTCGCGCATCCTCGAGCGCCGCACTGTGATCGCGTACGAGTCAGATAGCAGCAGCAGCAACGAGGGGGACGATGATTGGTAGAAAAGACAACCAACTTCAACTTATGACCATCACTCTTAACAGGTTGTATTACGTGGGCCACATTAAATATACGTCTACCACACTGCGATCCTCAATCTCCAATTTCTGCCATGCAGCAGCCCCCGCTCCCTCCGAACCCGCCGCAACCTGCCGGCGACGGCATCCCGTACCTGGGCTCACGCATTTCGCTGGTCTCCAAGACGGACATTCGCTACGAGGGTTTCTTGTTCAACATTGATACGCGCCAGAGCACCGTTGCGCTGCAAAATGTCCGCTCTTTCGGCACCGAAGGCCGACGTCCGGAGCATGTTCCGCCGTCGCCTCACATTCTGCAGTATGCAACCTTCAAGGCCTCGGAGATTAAGGATCTGCATGTGTGTGAAGCCGCGCCGCAACCTCCACAGCCTCCGCAGCCACCACAACCTCCACAGCCACCGGTACAGCCTCCAGTTCAGCCTCCGTTGCCCTCTGGTCCACCACCCCCGCCAATAACAGCCCCGACACCCGCTCCCGCGGCTCCCAAACCCACTTTATTGACCCCCGGGTCGGTCTCTAGTGCTCAGAAGCAACAGACTCAGATTCAGGAACATACTCAGACGCAGAATCAGAGTCAGCGACGATCTCAGACCAATAATGCTCGTACGATCCCCGGCATGGGCGGCCACTTGTTGAAGCGCAAGGAACGTCGCGTTCCTGGAGGAGCTGACGCAGCTGGAGTAGGCCCGGATGAGGCCTCGGGAGAGTTTAACTTTGCCGAGGGATTGAACGACTTTAACAAGCAGCAGGAGTTCTCCAAGCTCGAGGAAAGCGCCAAGCAGGAGCCCAAGGGAAGTTACCAAAAGTCTTCCTTCTTTGATACCATCTCGTGCGACGCACTGGACCGATTGGAAGGACAGCGATCCAGAATGAGCGGGGCCGAGGAGAGGAAGCTTAACACGGAGACGTTCGGAGCCGTGGGCTTGAACAACCGCCGCAACTTCCGTGGCCGTGGCCGTGGTCGACGTGGAGGAAACCGCAATGGCAACTGGAATGGCGGTCGCGGCGGCCGTGGAGGACGCAACAGCAACAATGGTTTCCCCAGACCGCAACCTGCTGGCCCCTAGATTAGTGAAGCTGCCTATTTTGTTGACGGACTGCAGGCCTTCAAGACAAGTTACTGGATAGGATAAAAGCAGCAGACAATGCTGACTCACCACACTAATGGACAAAACGAAACCCACTCTCGGTTTTCAACGAGTTTAATCATTGGTTTTGGATTAAAACATGGCATGTTATCCTGCAGTAAAGGCAATAAATCGAGCGTCCAGCTTCCACAACGTTGCTTGACGTACGTCGTGGTCGAGTTAGGCGCAACGAACGATTTCTGTTAGAGCATCGTAGAACTGGTCGCGGTTTAAGGCCGTTTCGTCCTGAAAAGTGAGAGTTTTTACATGTTAAAATGTTGTAAGCGAAGCGCTAAAACAGTTTTACGTACCCAAGGACCAAGTTTCTTGTGCGCACAAGCCACGAGTTGTTCCAGACGTAGTTGATCGTTGTCGGTCATTTTGTATACGCGGTGTTCTTGCATGTCGTGACGAGCAATGTCTAGTTGAGCAGAGAACCATGTCTCGAACTCATGAGCTTGAACAGTAGGAGCGGAATTGGAGACGAGTTCAAACGGAGGAGGCCCGGCAAACAGCGAGTAACGGAACTTGACGTAGCAGCGGTGCTCGAGCTCCGCCTTGATCTCAGTAAAGTTAGTGCTGCTCAACTGAAAAAAGCAGAACATTCTGATTAGCCAGGTTTTTTTTTTAGATTTTGTGCTCGTACCGCGAGAAGTTCCGCTAGGATACAATTGTTGAGGTTATCGTAGTGGAACTTGGCAATGTCGAGCAGATATCCCTTGGCAGTCGAGTCGGTGCCCTTGTTAATGATATCAAGAGCCTTGCTTCGCAACTTGTTCACGTATCCCGTCCACTCGTCTTGGCTGATGGAATTGTCGTGATTCGCATCTAGGACGTCAAACGGTGGCAGTTTACGAGAGCGCACACGCAACTTGTCGTCAGTATCGTCACCCTGCGCTAGTGAACGCCACGGAAACCTCTTGGTTGGATCGCTGTCGGTATCGCGACGTCCAAACTGCTCCGGTAGTTGAGATAGCAACATTGGTAGAGCTGGTGCACCATGAGCAGCTCCAATGTCGCCCCACCCTGGAATCGCCTGCACCACAGTCATGGACACCAACGCTGTTAACAACGCGAGCTTGACTCTTCCCATGTTCGATCCTTCACTCCGAGACTCTTTTTGTATTAGATCGCTATTCTCCCATGCCAACAATCCATATCCAATTCGGAGACCCTTGACGATCAAGTCTTCTCCACCGCACGTTCAGCGATACGAACGGTGAGTATCACGTGCCTCTTCACTTGGCTCTTCAGCAGCCAAAGTCTACAAGTAGACCAGAAGTTTTAGCGTAAAACAGCTATCTGTTTAGGCACCAAGACACAGTGGAAGCGTTATCGACGAAGTGCACAAGATCCTGAGTCAGGAGCTGAGACGGGCAAACACTGAAGCTGCGCTGGTCGGATCTGGCAAAGCATCAAGCGTCACGCGAACATGGAGCGCAACAAAAAATACAGCAAAGCATGTGCACGGATCCACAATTTCAGCGTTGTCGGGGGATCAGCTCGCTGTTCGACGTTTGGAATGCTTCTACGGAGGTTGTCGACATCCGGATCAACTAATGGAATTCCCATGTTGCTGTGTGACTAAAACCCAATAACGACGACGACTTGCATCGTTCATGAAGCTGGCTTTCAATACACTGCTCTGGATGCTTCTTGACAAGAAGTTCTTGTTTTCACCACGGTGTATGTGATCCTTTCATTTCTCGTTTACCCAGCCTTCCAAGAGGAGCTACGATGGGACCGAAGCTGTCGCTAGCGTCGAAACCGACTCGTTCAACGAGAAGACCAACGTGTCGTCCGTCACCAGAACTGCCGATTGTGGCAGTGAATATACACCCGCCGATAACCTGCAACGACACGACTGGGACAGACAACCACGTTCGTGTCGACCACGACGAGATGAAGGCCCTGGCACAGATCTTCAGGGCGATTGTGAGCGGCGACCGACGATGCAACCGTAAAATCCGGCTGCAGTGAAGGCTCAAGATTCTTCTACGCTACAACACGCCGAACACTTTAAACGTTTACATGAAATTCTCAGATATTAACGACTGTGGTCCGTTCTCAGGAGTATAACAAGCTCTCGTCACCTTTCTTAGGCACCGAAAGGCGTGATATTCGAGCACTGACACAGTGATACCGTACGGCCGTTGAGTTTCTGTGTATCACGAGCGTTTGGTCGCGGAAGAAAGTTGCGGTACAGTTCGAGCTGCTCGGGTGAGGCCTCTAGCATGTCACTCACGACAACCCACTCGACTCCTTCTGAGTACGGCGGGGTCGTGAGTGAGCCCTGGTAGCGGAAGATCTTGCCTTCTAGTAGACTATTGAGTTCCTCCCCACCGGTGATCTGACCCAAGGCGACGTGGTCATGTTTCTTGGGATTGAGGGTGGCAATCTCGTCCCAGAACTGGGCCAGGAAGGCGTTCTCCTTGCCCTCAGTAAAGAACACCCCCACCACCGCCAATGATCCATCTTCTGCTTGGTGCACCAAGTGCAGCTCCATAGCTCGAGATTTACCGTTCACGGTGTGCTCACCTGAGTAATAAAATGTTAGCGAATTAAAGAATTCATAAAAGTACTAATAAATGACGTACTTGGAGCATGGAAATGGAACTGCACAGTGTAATACTTCTTGCCATTGAGTGTCAGCACGTTTTGTTCGTGGTTGCACCAGTTCACTTGGAAGTTGTCGCCACCGTGCACGAGTTGGATCTCAGCCGATGCAGAGCCCAATTGAAGTGTATTCTCTTCCGAGCTGAGCGTCACCGATTCCATTACGGGGTCTTCAATGATGTCGATCGGAGACTGCGACAGCATCGGTTTTGCCTTGACCTTTTGTACGACCATCGTACTAGCAATGGAAGCTTTGTGGTGCAGCACCTTGGAGACCGACGTGCCCATTGTTTAAAATGATGAAGTAGTAGGAAGCAGGTAAATTGTAGAATGGCAGCTCGACTTGACGCACTCAAGGATGCAGGACGCTCTCAGCTGAGCCCAAGACAACACTTAGACTTGAGCTTTGAAACTGAATAGCTAGTCTAAATGTAGCGCGTGGTTTTGCTGCCGTGGCCACTGTCCAAGCGGCTTCAAGGCATCCAGAGACCTGGCGGAGGATGCTTTCTGCTCAAGAGCTCAGTTCTGGCGGTTGTCGGTCCGAGCGACATCATTTTCCTCCCCACAAGATCAAAAACGGCCCCGCCTACGTCCTGTTGTCGCAACGGGGCGACCAAACGTTCGATTACTGGCGCGTTGGGGTCTACTGCAAAGGCTGAGGTGTCGTCACGCTGAAAGGCGAAGCTGGAATTTTTGCCGGAAGCTCGTTACGCTCATTGCGAGGTGGTTTTGCTACAGTGGTTTAAAGTGGCTGCATTTTGCCGGTGCTTCGATGTTAAACAGCGAGAGAACCAACAACATTCCAAGAGAACCAACAGGATCGAATTGAATCTGTTGGTTCTCTTGAGTGAAAATACCATAAAAACAACAGATTCTGGCCATGGAACCAACAAAACTGTTGGTTCTCTTGAACAATTCAACATGCGGATCATTGCACTTTTACAGCGCTGCAACATGCTCGGAGATACCAGGATTGTTATTCCAACTTGGAAAAGTGGAATTTCCGAGGCGAGTGGCGATGGGGATTTTGGATCCTGTGCTAACACGTGGCCTGCATCCCATCGCTGGTGGAGCCTGTGGGGACCCTACAAGGGTGGCTGGCTACAGTTTTACCGAGGCGATGACGCGCGTTTCAGAGCACAGGGTGTGATGGACCGGACACATAGCTAGTGTGAGTGAAGAGATGAACCTCTAGAACTTCCACAGGAAGCGATCGGTGGCAATGCTGGCAAGGAAGTATCACTTTCCGGATATTAACATGTACATGTAGCAGTTGAAGCTGTCATGTTACGCTTGCGCCGACATCTGTAGCGACCGCGATTAGCGAGAAGGGTCGGTATTGCTTTAACAGCGGACGTCGATGAGCTTCGTTGGCGTTCGGCGGCATGACTTATGGTACACAGAAGCAGGACGAGTGGCTCGACTATCATAGTGCTGAGTTATTGATGCTGTTGTGCAGGCATGGGTGTCAGTATGATGAGGGTTAGTTTAGCGCATTCGAAGTTGTTGTCTGGTCACTTTCGTCTGTCGACTCTGCTACGGATCGACAATTGGTGTAGTCCTGCGGGGATCGAGGAATTGCTTGTGGGAGTAAAGCGAATGTATTCGCCATTGTGTTTGCAGGCAATTCTACAATGGCGTTATCCTGGTGCAAGTTTATGCGAATGGTTTGACTCGGACAGTGTTCTTTGGCGCACTTTTGAAATGATTTTTAAGCTGACGGTAACAATGCAATCCGTCTGTACAACTCCGTTACGTCTACTGGTTCCTTTCACACTCTCACCGATGCTCACCCACCAAACTATCTCCCAGCCGAGCTGAAAAGCTGACAGGCAACAGCTTGCGAATCATCTAGAAAAAAGTAATCTGAAGCTGATTATAGTGCTCGCGCCACAAACTCGTCGTGCAGCACGAGGTTCACGAAGCCGCCCTTGGTGACGAACGCGTCCTTGATAAGAGGACATACTTACTCTTCAAATGTAGACAAGTTGTCTACGATGGTGTTAGCGATCACCTTGGGAGTGGGATCACCGGGTTGTGGAGCAGTTGCTTTACTTCGAAATAATATAAAAAACTTTTGAGCGCTCAATTAATGGATGGATACTTCCTCATTCCAGAGTGACTCGGTACTACGCCATTGTCATGTATCGAATTTGATAGAAAATGTACTCAAAAATCAGTAAGAGGCTCAACCTTGTGATGTATGGTCTAAGACCATTGATTTTTAGGTTTCCATATTGTGGGATACTTTCGAAGCTGCAACGAAAACAACCATGATAACATCAAACGCTAGATGAAATTTGTTTAGCAGGGATCGACATAATCTAGTTTTATACTACGTAGTAATATTTTTATAAAATGTAAACAACAGTGTAAATACTCTAACAAAGTTTGTACAACAGAAATAATCAACAGCTTACTTGTGTTTTTATCTGAGATGACTTGTACTAGTTAGAAAATCAATGGCATCTCAACGAATTTTGTATTGATCTCGCGATGATAGATCTGCGTTACATGCCAATTTTGTAGTGCCCTAATTTAACAGTAAAGCGTGTTTTGGCATTAGTAAGGTGGCTTGCTTACCATAAGATATACCAAAGCATCGGATAACAGGGGGTAATTGAGGTCGTTAGCATTGCTAAGTTACTAGTTAGAAGTACAACAGCAGTGTAATGACACATCGCCTGTGCCGACTGAGCCGTGAGAAAATCTAATTGCTATTTCCTCAACTGTCAATTTTTTTCAGAATAATACACTTTAAGGGAGAAATAAAGCGCTAAAAACAGTGCCGACAAGTGATTTTCACTTGCCCGAACATGAAACATGGTTTGTCATATAACGACTCGCACAATATTGAGATGAAGTTGGCTGGTGTCTTGACCTTCCGCCTTTGGCTTCTCCGCGGACCTAATACTACTACCAAGTGACAATACCTACCTGTGATGCTCAGGACTGCCGCTTTGAACTGGAACTGGAGTGATAATGGCGGTTGAAAACATGTTGGTGGTACTGGTACGTGTATAGTTAAATACTACAGTGCTTGGTAAATGAAAGAAGAGATTTCACGCTCCTTAACTTGCAAGTTTTTAGCGGTGGTGAGCATATCTAAGCTCTGGCACAGTAACTCCTAAGGCGTCAAGCAATGGATGTACTTCATTAACGTTTAAATTTTTAGATGAATTAAAGTTTAGTATATGGTACATTTATCAACATCAACGTAGCTTAATACATTTCCCAGCTCACCCATAGTACTGCGGCTGCTGATAGAGGGCGGCTCGTCGTTGGTCAGCGCACGGGATGTAGTTCGTAGGAGGCCCCCAATGACTCTGCCCAGTAGTCGACCACATACTGGCGCAGTGGAAACCCATCGACGTCACTTGTCTCGCCACGTCAGCCATACGCTGCTCATCCTGAAGAACAGGACATGACTCCAACGGAGTCTCCGGCTCATCATGAAAAGCTTCGGGCGACGTCGAAAAGTCAAAGGCATTGAAGCCATCGCCTACGCTTATTGATTGACACCAGTGGCTGTCGCTTTGGTGTGTAACTTGCTGCTTGCGTCGCCAATTGGCAGAAATTTTACGTCTTCGTCCGTCGTCCTCTTCCAGATCCTCCACCTTGGCAGACGAGTTCTGATGTTGCTGAGTGCGGAGTAGACGGCGGTGGCGCGCGCGGAATCTCTCGATCTCGGTCGCGTCGTCGCTGGGCGAGATAAACTGCAGCATTGGTGACTGTGGTGGAAGCGTGCAAGTCCGAAAATGAGCGACATCGTGGTACAAAAAGGCAACTTGCCTTTTTGTGCTGAAACGTTTGCGGAGCACGCTTTGTTATTGGTCGTAATCGACACATTGATTGTGTTTTTAGCGAATGAGAAAAGGATCTCTGCAAACGTCACTTGCAGCTTGGGAGCATGGGCAGGACGAAGCACTTCAACGAGCTCTTTGGCTGTGCTAGCCCGCAAATCGCTTCGCGTGGATTCTACGACGCTACGCATTGAGTTGCACGGCAGTTCTCATCGCTATTGGCGTCATCGTCGCTATCATGGCGGCATCTTTCCGGCGGCAGCTATGGTGACTGGGCCGCTTCTGGCGCTACTATTGGCTTGGTCTAAAGTTGCTGAACAAGTCACTTTAATAGCACTGTGGCAACATAAACTGACGCAACTCAAGCACTTCAAGTCAAGGTGTGTGTCACAATGTATCCATGTGGCGGAAGTGAGCTCATGCTTGTCAAAGCAAACTTCGATTCGAAGGTCGATATCAGGCGTGCGGGGTGCATCACTCCAGCCATAGAGATACGATCAACCCTTGAACTTCCCCACATTTTCGATTCAACTGTGTGGTGCGTGAACACCCCACGTCCAAGCTTGAAGCCTTGAATCAAGGCGAGTGTGCACGCGTTCGCACCCACTGCAGAGTACTGCGTGTTCGCGGCGCGACAATGGAACTCGAGCGGAAGCAGGTCGGTGGTACATCAGCGTGGTGCATGCAATGTGGCCGAAGAAATCATGTCAGCGCCAATACAGCGTGGCTGGGCATGCCGGGCCGGGCATTTCTAGCATGACTCGCCCTATCGTGCTAAGGATTTGCTTTGCCGGCGGCGACGTTAGCAATTACAACTCCATGTTGACTGGCGACAAGGCGAATATTTTTGAGTTAATGGGTCTAAGAGGAGGAGGTCGCACGACATGCTCTCTGTCTTTCTCCCTGGCAGCATTCGCATCCTCCTTTTGCTCGCATTCGCCTTGACTTTGGAGACGTCCACACAGACACATATACACTATCATCTAGTAGGCTTGGTCACACCAACTCTCATGAAAAGAGACGTCGGCTCTGGTTCTCACGTGGGGGAAATTCCATAGGTACAGCAGCAGATGCGCTGCCCTTTGTCAGACAGAAGACCTTGGCCAGTGTCGCTCCGTCGCTCATTCCTGCAGCAGCCGCGCGCACGAACGCGTCGTTCTCAATGTACGCAAACATACCACACAGCTGTCCGAACTGCACGACGCTATTGGGGGCGAGCAATACGCGGCCGAAGCGTCCACCAGCTTTTGTGGCGAGGAACGCCATCATATCCTCGACGATCGAGTCAGCCGTGATGCTACCGCGAGGCTGCGTGAGCCAATCGGGCATGTCTACGCTATCGTCCACGCTGTTGGCAGCGTCCACGAACTGAGAGAGCGCGTTCTGCTCCCAGTGCAGCGCAAGCGCGGGCTCGTCGTCACTCACGGACACAGAGGAGAGGTACTCATCCACCTGGAAGAGTGTTCTGGTTAGTGGAATTGATACAGCTGAGAGAGAACAAGTGGGCTTTCTTACCTCGGCGGTGCAATCTTGGTACGAGAAGGCTGTGGACATGATGCAGGAAGGTCCTAAAGCTTGATCTGCTGTCCTGGGGGCAGAGAGGAGAGTGAGGCGAATGAGATATGTACACGCTTTGACTCGCTGACGTGGAGACTGGCTCGGCTGCCAAGAGTGAATAAGATTCTGGTTGAAGAGGTCCATTGACAAGCAACGATCGGGCGACGAGCATACATTAGACCAATTGCCGACGAGCAACGTGCCACATACAACCAATCAGAGAATTGAGCCTCTGCTGCGGTCATGACCAGCAGTGTTTTACCCGTAGCGCGTGAATCAGGAGCCAATTGCTCAAACGAAATGGCTGGCTGTAGTGCATTGGACCGCAGTGACGCAGCAGTTGGATTGTTGTCCCTAGTGCAGCACGACGAGAACCGAAATCAAATTGCCGGTGATGAGCTTTCTTGGTGATGCGTTTTGCCGATCGCAAGCGATTGAGACTTGCAGCACCAAGTTACAGGGTCATTTTGCGCCACACTACGGTACTATAACCGGCTCGACCAACGAGAGATACGCTGCGTACAATAGTAATCGTCGTGAGGTTTGCTACGTATTCGTGCACAGTCAACGTCGTTCTGAAGAGCATGCGACCAATTCGCCCGTCAACACTTGTATAACGCTCTTTGTCCTGTCAACTTAGACCTTTTTTTCGCGTTGAGCGACTACGGAAGAATAACACGCACGGAATCTACACGATCTCTGCGTTTCTTTTGCACTCGTATACGTTGAAGTTATTATTGTGTACACCACATATAATTAATTCTGACACGTAATTACAAAGAAACAACACAAAATCTTGTCGCATTCAAATTCACAACGTCAAGAAGAAGACGAAGAAACAAGAAGCTCCGAGCGCTTGTATTCTCTCCAGCAGCATGGACGCCAAGCCCGAGACCTCCGCTACGCAGCACCCCACAGTCAAGCCAGCCGTCAAGGTGACGCCCTTATCCCCTTCCCACCACAAGGACGCGCCGCCCAAGTCGCCTACGCGCTCACCGATCAAGAGCCCCAGCGCCTTCGAGCAGAAGCCTCTGCGTATGCCCAAGCCAATGTCTATTTAAACCTTGGACGTCACTAAAACACACTAAAAAGAAAAGAAACTTTTTTGAGGCTGAAAACTAAATTTGACGAAGCTTAGAAAAAGTTCTATCGTTCTATTAGATCTTATAAATGTTGTATCAGCGGTAGTGAGGACCTAAAGGCACCATAAACGGCGTGGCTAAAGGATTTAGTCCATTCTGGTCCACGGGCAATGCACATTCGAGCAGTAGAGTACCATCATGCGAGGCAAACAGAGGAACCCGCTGAATAATGCTGCTGGTGTTTGTTGATAAGAAGCAGACGAGTTGGACCCGTTGCTGCTGCTGCAGGTCGTTGCCTTGTTCGAGACTCTGGAGAGTTTCATTCCATTTGGCTCCAAGCAATACAATGCCATCGATGATTGCGATAGCATTCGCTGGGATGGGAGCAGTAGGAGTTTCCGGTGGTTCACGCTCAGATTCATCGGATAGGAGACGCAGCGTGAATAGCATCGACTTGTCACTGGGCTGGGCGATGTCAAGGATGTAAGTAAGAGGGAGACGCGCAGCGAGAATCCCGGGTAGCCACCATCGAGACGGAGTGACGTTGAGGTTTGAGCTGATAAGGAAGTTGTGCCAATCTCGGTAATGTTGAAGCACGTCGTGAAGAGACCAAGTAGAAGAGATTGGCGGTGGTAGTGTACCGTGACTGAATAAATCTGGTGGAATTTCGCTGCGTAGTATAGCCACGATCTGCTGGCGCACGTGCGTGTCTTTGATATGTGCTAGATGGAGGAGGTTTCCCTCCTCTTGCTCTACGTCGTCATCGTCATCTTCATCCTCTGAATGCTCAACCAAAGAATCATCTTGTTCTGGGGTATCAACTGGAACTGCAGCCTGCAGACTCGAAAGTATCGTCTCCAATGTAACCAAACAACCCTCGACGTGTTGGTTATACACACTGCAGATAGCCATAGCCGTTCGATCTTCTATCAAATCGCCAGCCTCTTGATCCGAGTCCAAACGAGGTGGGACCGCTTCATCAATAATCGCTCGGATAATTTCAATAGCATCACGCAATAACATCGTTGAAATCATTTCAGCATCACTTAAAACTGCAATTCTGTTCTCGTTGATCCATCCAAATGCTTTCATCCATTTCGGCTCCAGTAGTTTCGCCAATTCAGCGTCTTGAGGAGTAGCAAACAGATCCCTCGTCGTGTCTTCTAATGATCCACGTCGAGTACTTGACTGTTGGTATCCAAGCAACAAAGCTTGGAGTTTCGAGTCTTTATTCTTGTCAATACTAGCAGAATAACTCCACACCAACTCCAGCCACTGATTCATTGACAAGTCTGGAGTTTGCAAGGCTTCACTTGGAAAAACTAGGAATCCCAAACGCAGGGATGAGTTAACCACTGACAAAGTACTTACACCTTTGATCAGAGGCATTGACGGACTGTGTGTTGACGGGGTTAACTCAGGGGAACGTATCTGCTCACGCACACTCATCTGACGACTGCGACCTCGAATACTCGATAGAGAACCCATTCTTTCCCTCTCTGAAGACGGATTCCAGCTCACAAGTTGCAGACACTCAGCAAATAACCTCTTGAGAAGCTCCGCCTCTTGATGCCCATTCATTATACGAGTGTATGAACTCAACACCACTTGCTGGTATATTCGTCGCTCCAATACTGCGCTATAATCCGTAGTTTTCCCAGTACGACGTCTTTGTGGTGAATAATGCTGCTTTTTCTCTAAAACTGTAGCCAGATACTGGTTTACCGCAGTTAAGAAATCATCATCATAATAATGAAAGACAGCTTTAAAATCAGGATAAGCGCTTCTCAGCACGTTTGCACGGAATACCAGCGTAGCGTGGAACAACAAGAGGCCAGCCAATACCTGCCAGATCGGAGTCACCGGTATCCTGACAGTATTGTCTTCAGCTTGAACGAGTGAGTATAATGTTTGGACACTTGGATACATACTCAGACGAAGAATTGTAGACTGCAGACACTTGGAGAGAGATACTGAAGCACATGATTCTTCCTCGTATTCGTCTCGGAAACAAACGATACTTGAGCGAAGGTGAATCGGTAGAGAAGTCCACTCATCCACTGCTGCTACAAGCCGAGGATACGTTGGCGTCACCAAGTCTTTGGCTGAAATTCGCGTCATCATCGATTGGCAAGTCGAAACTCGATGACCAGCCATAGAGTGCTCCTTTACTACACTTGGTCGTTTGACGGTTTCTTTGGGAACGGTGTCTACGCTGTTATACCGCTGGAATGTTGTGGAGGACGTTCTAGCGCTTGCCCGATTTAGAATCTGGAAAAGCTCTTCCCAATTCTGTGCAGTTCCAGATTTGTCTTTCATATTGATAATAGCCAGCGGTGCCTCCTCCAACGCTTCTAACTCTGTTTTCTCCATTTCTAAAATCTGTTTGAAATCGTTCAACACGAGGAGAAGCTGTTTTACGTGCTCCTCATCTTCAGTATCAACGCTTCGTGGGAATGTATACAGTTCACTTAGAGGGGTCAAGTTCGCTGATTTATCCTGCTTCCCAGTCCGGAATTTCCTCTCCACGAGTATCTGAAGTACACGAAGTTGCAAGGATGTAGATCCATTTAACCCTTGGAAGAAAACTCGACGTGCAAAGCTGAAACCGTTGAACTCGTGACGTGTGCGTACAACTGCAGCAGTCTTCTCGGGTAGTTTCCGTAGTGTACGTAGCCAAAATCCTTTCTCCGTCTCAACAGAACCTCGTTGTTGTACATTCAATGATACGCCATAACTGGCCAACATCCGATCGCACACTTGTTGTACCAAGTAAGGGAATAAAACAAGAACCCCTCGAAGTCTTTCAGATTTCGAGGCGTCCTCTGGTATCGCTAAGTGCACAATAGAGTTAACATCTTGAGCATCAGGAAGTATGTGCTCCCCTTTGCTGCCATTGAGTATCGTACTCACAATTCGTCGTTGAAAATCTGCTCGAGAACTGGATAAAGCGACGGTTTTACACGTTTCAGCAGTGATTAAACACGATGTTGTATCGTTTAATCCCCGTTTCAGCTTCGCTTGTAGTAGAATTGTGTCAACAGATCGAGAAATAGTCACTTCATTTTCAAAACGGTTCCGTCTTTCTTTTGGTACAGAAGCCTCTTTAGGTGACGGAGTCTCCTCCAAATTCCTGATCAATTGCAAAATAAAACAATACCAATCTCTGTTTGGAATCAATGGGGCAATTCGACCCAAAAGACTGGTTAAAACTTCAGACAAAACACCAGTAGAGTTTGATTGTCCACGTGATGACATTGCAAAAGTAGCAGCAGTACGTGCCAGTATCCCAAATCGTCGGCTTGCTGACGATTTTTTGACGTCCGGAGTGATCGGTACACCAGTAGTTGCATTAGTTTTCGATAATATCGTCGAAACAGAGTCGAGCAGGATTGGTAGAATCACTTGAAGTGTCAATGGTGGCGACGTATTTCCACTAATTGTGGCGTTGAAGGCGTTAAATACCGCAACTCCGGTACGAGCCATCGGTGTGCACTGAAGTTTAACGAGTCGAAGTTGCTCCTGGATCTCACGACGTTTATCTCTCAGTATCTGCCGCGCTTCGTGGATCGCAGTAACCCGTTCACGAAGTGCCTTAGTTTGCGAGAGAGGAAATTGACTTGTCACTGCAGCAGCTTCTAACAGCTTCGTAAGTTGATTCTGAGCTGCTTCGTACTGCTGAGCGAGCTGCGCGTGCTCCTTTAATGCTGTTTTTAAAGTGAATTTTTCAGTCTCTAAAGAAATTTTATCCAACATTATGTCATGTACATCACTGGAATGTAAATTACCATCCAATGTTGGTAATATATCGAGAAGTTCACCAAACGCAGCACGAGAGGCATGTGACGTAAGAATCAACCGGAAATTCGGATGCAACGCTATCGTATCCGTATTGGAGGCTTCGTCTTCGGGTAACTTTTTATTTAGTACCAGGTGGGCTGTACCATCGATACACTTGACGTTCCAGTTTAAAGCTGCTTGTAAATAATTATTCTCCTCTCGGGATTCGCAATCAATTGGCTCGACATCCAGCACTAAAAGTTGGTGACCTGAACGTGCTGCTACCTTGAAAACATCATCAAAATCTGCAGCTCGAGCGTATACCATGTAAAGTTGGTTCCAGTGCCACACACGTCGTGCACAGGTGACCAGTAGTTCCTCCATTTCATACGAGAATCTAGTGATCATAGCAACAGGCACAGACGACGTAAAAACCACCAATGACAGCAACCAAGCGTCCCAAAGTCTGCGTCTTGAGAAACCCAAATCCCCGACACTAGTAACCAGCTTTGTAGTCTCCTCCATCTCGCTCCCATCGGGAGTATACTCACCCGAAAATAACGACGTTAAAGGCGTCTCTAACTCTCCACTCTGTGGTTCAGTCTCTTTAAGAACGACAATTATCGACGGTATGAACGTACAACACGTTGATGTCGGTGAACAGCCAGGTGTTAACCCTCCGTAGACACAATAAGCTTGTTCCCAAGCTTGAAAAACCCGATCACGTTGTGAAGATACACTAAGTTCACAAGCGTACGCTAATGCTCCGGCCGATAGTAAAGTGTTCCACGTAGTTAACGAGAATCCTCGACGCATCGAGATAGCACTCGCTGCTTCATTCTGGAGCTTGCGGTCTTCTTTAAGAGCCTCCATCGCTCGGTCTCCACTATCACATCGAGCACTGAGCGACGTAATTTCGCTCTTTAAAGCTTCTTTCTTAGTGTTGGCAGTGTCGATCCCAGCTTGAGTGGCCTGCCAGGCCGCATCTGCTTGCACTACGCGGTCTTTACTGACCTGAAACTCTTTCATAATGAGCTGTAAGCGACCTTGAGCCTTCTCTAACGTGTCCAGCGTAGGCTGCACTTTTTGTCTCGAAGTGGCGTACTGATGTATAGCGCGTACCCACACAACCATCGAGGCAGCAGCTACACTCTGTCGCTCCACCTCGTCACGTCTAAAGCGTTCGTCATTCAGATACTCAGTCTCTAACTTGGACAACGTTGCAGCAGATACTGCGTCTTTGTTAAATTGCAGTAAATTTTGCACAAAATTCGCGTCACCAAGCAAGAGTCGGCGAGCGCTCTCCCAAGAGGATTCGAGCTGGAAAAGCACACAAACAGCACCAAGAACGAGCTGAACAAGTGGCGGAGGACTCACAAACGACTTGATCTCGACGATATGACGTCGATCTACTAACAATAAGGCTCGGTTGGCTTCTTCGAGACAAACCATGGGCTCTCGAAGCTCTTTTTGGGCTTGTTCCTGTGCCTCGGTGGTGACGAGAATCTGCTCATCTGCTGCGGTTCGGAAGCGCTCCATTATGAGGCGGATACGTTCGGCGTCTTGCTTCTGCTCGGTCAATTTTACTTCGTCATTTATAAGCTGCTGATCGATTGTTGAGAGCTGTTCCGTAAGTAATTTATCACTTGAACGTAATGCTCCCAAGTCACGATCTAATCGGTTAGACAAGTCGAGAAACCACGCTGTCTTCGCTCGAAATGCTTCTTCACGTTTGAAGTTTTCGATAAATAACTTACTGAAAAATTCCGCCATCCCAAATATTCGACTTGTCGGAGGAAATTCACACTTGAACATATTAGCCACAGCGAGATGCATGTCCGTTGCCATACACGCCACGCTCCAGAGACTGCGATGTACTTGATGCAGAGTATCAGCCAAAATTCCGTCGTTTTTCGAGATTTGATCTAAAATTTGAGCGTGAAAATGTGCGTACACTATTGTACGTAGAGAGTCCCGATCAAGCTGAGGCACCGACACGATGTCACACGTCGAAAAAATGCTCGGACAGGCAGCGCGTACAAATTTTTCATGCTCTTGGTCAACGAGAAGAACCACGCGAAGCTTCGAGCACATACGAGCCACAGCGCTCGCCCACTTCCCACTGGTCACACCTAAAGGTCTAGTTAGTGCCATGACGGTGGCTGCTACACTCTCGCTCTCCACTTCACGTTGACGTCGCAAATCGTCGCTATCTTGTTGATATCGCAGATCAACTCGAGCCAGTTTAGAGCGCAATTCACGTTGATACCGTGTTTCCACTTGCTGGAAAGCTTCGAGCATGGGGGTTGAAGGTGCTTCTCGCTGTTTCTGGTGTAGAACGGCTAGTGCTTGATCTCTCGTGGCTTCAGCTTCAGCCCGAATCTGTGCGACTTTAGCTGCGTGTTGAGTTTTGAGTGCTAGAAGACGTTCGTCACATACTCTAGTCGCGAGGTTTACCTGCTCTTCTAACGATAAAATACCGGGGACTTCTCCTGTCGTCATGAGAACTTGAATCTGGTTTACGATCGTAGTTGGAAGAAGGTCGAGACGCTTGATTACGAGTGTGGCTTCGTGTCCACAGACGCCCACACGCTCGTAGAGATCGAGAAGAAGTCGCTTCCATCTCGTCATCAAGCAAAAATTGACATTTGTCGTGATATTTGGGTCGTCTTGAAGTCCAGATAACGTGAGAATTGCACTGTCTTCGTGACCTTCAGGGGTTCTTGAAGTCGTAGCATAACGCAGTAAAGTATCAGCTCCACTGCAATTATTGTCGAGTAACACAAGTCGCGCTGCTGGACGTGCCAACACCCGATCAATCCTCACAACCGATAGAGCCTAGAAAACCATAGTTCATTAGAAACAATAAATTGCTCGAAATAAATTACGTACCAATTTGAAAGGGACATAAGGGACATCTCGAGGCAATGCAGTTGTCTTCTTTGCATCCAACGAACGTATCGTTGAGCTGAACGTACGGAGATCTCGGAAATAGGCCTGCATTGCTGCTGTGGAGACCGCTTCATTGTCGTCTTCAAAACTGATCTCGGCGTATATCCAATTTCCGGATCGACCAACATGGCTGGAACTGCCATCTACAACCGTTTCTAGACTTTTTCGGCGCATGAAACTCGCACTACTACGTCGTAAAGCTCGCGTTGATAGACGCTTTTCACCTGAATTAGTAACATTATTTTCACCAAGTTGATCCAACGAAGCGGGAGCTCCTCCGTAATATATACTGGCAGGCACAAATGCCCATAATCCTCCCATTATTACTGCGCGATGTTGCTGTTCCTGCAGAGAATTGAACTGCAGACTGGGTCGAGAGAGCCTTTTACCACTCGGAGCTGAAATTCGAGCGGTAAATAACGCCAAAAGAGTCGCAGGGCTCGCGTTTTCTTCATTTTCTGGACTCACTTGGATCGATTGTCGTTTAGCAAAGCCCAGTCCAGATCCAGGACCAATTGCAAGACTTGCACGCACGCTAGCACGACGCTGAGTCACCTGGGACACGATGGAGCGCATCCGTACAATTTCTGTAGCAATTTCAGAGTCTTGTTGAGACGAACAGAGACCCATGGACGGTTCTCTTAGCGTTCGACAGCTCTCGTGCGTCCACAATCTGATTAATGTTTCTACGTCTGAAATTACAGAGGGTACAACCACAGCGAGACCTTCATACACTCGTGCTAGGTCGTGCAGACAAAATTTGTACGCACGCCGAAGTCGATCCCACAGCACTGTGGTCGCTGCTACGATCGTTGGAATAGGATATCGGACCGCAGGAGATAATGTTACAGAGGTTGTGGACAGGCTCCAGTGCGTCTGTAAGGCCTGATTGAAGATATTGTGCAATTCTTCCAGCTCACAGGACGGAGCTAACACCGGAAAGAACTGCGTCGTTATTTTTTGCGCTGAATCTTCTCCTTGTATCGTGAAATTCTGGAATTTTTCGCAGTTTATTGACGCCAACAACATGAGGTTTTCGACAGATATTGGTAAGCAATTCGATCCTCGATACACTTTTCGTTGCTCTTGTATCGACCGAAGATACGCATAAACCGATGGGTTAGCCTGTTTTAACGTGCATTCCTCCGTCGGTGTAGCGAGGTGCAAATCATCCAGGATAAGTAAAGCTGCTTTACCCGATGGGGGCTCGAATACACCGGAACGTTCACGTTGCAGCATACGCTCTAAGCAGTTAGAGAGTTCAGTTACAGTATCGGCGTTACCGTGTGGCATAGCAAAAAAAAAGGGGATGACGTCTCCACGGTCGAATTGGCGTACCATTGCTGTCTTTACGGGATCAAGAGACGGCGTTATAGTTAACGGAATTCCTTCCTCCTCCTCGACAATAGACCGATCATTTGCTGTACTCTCGTCACTCTCATTCTTTTCCTTTTGCAGCCGCATAGCCATCACCGTAACTAGTGAAATTTGGCGTAAACGAAGACGCTTAACTGAAGCCAGCGTCGCAGCTTCAATTGACTTGGAAAGAGCAGGTTTACGAGTTTTATCATTGTCTTTATCAGCTTGTAGCATGTTGGAGACTCCACCGGCTGAAATGATGGACCGGATGACTTCAAATTGACTGAGAAAGTTACGAGCGAGAGTTGTTCGTCGTGCACTGTCGGCACCGATAAGTAACACGCCTCGTCCTGAACGTAGCGCTTCTCTTAATGCTGCGTGGATCACGAGGCTGGAGGACGTTGGTATGAAGAGAGAACTGATGTTATTGCAGGTGGTAGCTGGCGGTGGAAGCGCTACTGGGCCCGTAGAGTTTACGACAGATACGAAACGTAGACCTTGTAGGTCTAATACTGTCTCGTACAGGTTAATATGTGTACCACAGCTTATCCACGCCGGTTTAAGATGCTCAAACTGTCGGATAAGAAGATCACTGACTTGTCGTTTGATGACAGTGTCAGTACAAGCTGCAAAGCCCCACATTAAGCTGTAAATTAACGCCATCTCCACTCGAATTTGTCCAGTCGATATGGTATCAGAAAACTCTGGATAAGAACTCAACTTGGGGTCGGATAATGCCGATGCAGTGCTAACAAGCGACTGTAACAGAGAGACCAGGTTGGTTACCCGTTGTAGTGGTGGCAGATTAACCATTTCAGCAGCTCCGCCATCAATAACAGCGGCTAATTCTCCCAATAACGACGAGTGCATAAGCCACTTCTCAATCACGTTAAAGGTGTCAGTACTCGACCACGTCTGCGACTTAGAAGCGTCACTCTGTGCAATTCTCTCACGTTCGAGCACCAGATATCTATACAAATATGCTATTGATATATCCATCTTCGATTGATCGCCCACAAGACTAAATGGTTCTGATTCTTGTGCGTCCGTTAAACTGTATCCAGTCAAATGCAGGATAGAGGTCACGTGAAGAAAACTTGGGGTGGCGTCGCGTAGCTGTAAAATTTCAAAGATGAAGCGTAAATTTGGTGGTAGCGTCATGAATTCACCGTCTTCAAACGCCAACAAGGGAGACAAGCTGGCTCTGGACTTTACCAACACAGCTAGAAGCACTTCAAGCCATCGCAGATCCAACGCATCGTCAAAAATTACCCAGACTTGATGGTCGAAGTCTAATAGAGATTCTGGTGTACTGTCTCGGTGTCCAGTGTAACGCTCTTGTGCTTCACGAATTAATTGGCCAAGAATGCTTGGCATGCGACCGTGGTCATCGAGAGACACGCCTCCGTACAGTTGAGAGACAGTCAACGCCATTGGTAGGACCACGTGAATAGAGACACTCGGCGATTTAAAGTGTTTCACTGGAGCTGTTAGAGTGTTGGTTACAGTTAGAGTATCGTCGTTAGAGGGTGCTGGAGCTCCTTCGTCTTGACGTTGGAGAGAGAGTTCAAAAGCCTTTGCAAGCACCTGGTAAGTCGTTGTCTTCCCCACTCCCGATGGCCCCACTAAAACTGTACTCACGCTAAATGTTAAAGCAGTTGCAAGGGCTGAAACTGAGTCGAGTGTCGCCTGCCGAGGTATAAAATGCAGCTCTCGAACGGCACCGCTAATCGCCTCCTGTAATTCAGGCCTTATACCAGATCTTGGTTGCAAAATAGTCTCGTTACTCAACGGTAAACTATTTTTCACGATATTTTCGAGTGCCTTAAGCTGTATATCGTCCATACGGACGCTGAAATATCCCAACACAGCTGCACGTATCGATCCTTCTTGATCCGCCTGCTTCAATTTTAACTTGGAACCACCATCGTTAATAACAGTTTTTAATGCTGTAAAACTGAATGGGGTTTCATAACCAGGTGGATTCCGGATACTGAGATCGAGAGTCGAGCGAGCGTGTTGCCACAGTACCAAAAGCTGCTTAGCAAGATGTCTTGGACCTGTATAACCTCTACTCATCAACAGTGCTTCGACGATATAGTCCCGATCCCATTGAACAATCGCAAATTGACTCAAATTTTCCGTCCAGATACGAATCTCCTCTGCGTCTTTCATTACCAAGTTAGAAGGAAATATCACAAACATCGCGGTTCCAGGAATAAAATTGATAGGAGAGCGGTGAACCGCTATGATTTGATTCTTGGTCAGCACCGCGTGCTCAATTGAAGCGAGAGTAGTTGCCAATGTCTTGATAAGTAATGCGTTATCCTGTATACTCCTTTTAAGCTGCAGATTCGCGCAAAATGTTCCTCCAGCATAAAGTGCTCCAATTAACAGTCGAGTAGCGTGAGTATACGACGTTAACGTCGCACTGAAGTAACGTCGACCTAATATCGAGCTCACTTGGACGCTTAGAGCCCGTTTACCGCTCTCCGAAGGTCCAGTTAGAGCACAACCTTGAGCATGTCGGATACAAGCGAATATCGAGAAAAGGGATCGTAGACTGCTCGGTGTCACTACAACGTCGTTATATGGACTCAAGTAGTTGAATCCATACGGAATTTTCAGCGTGTTCATTTCAATGTGGCATTCATGACCGACAGTCGTTGCATCATCCATTCGGTACTTAAGCTGGTACTCCCAGTCCACTGCCAATCCACCAGACGTTAAGGATAAGGAATTAGATTCCTTTGCTGCCATGTGACTGGAAAATGAGTCTCTATACTGTAGTTCTTGAAGACGCAGACAGGTGCGTAATGTAATTTCCCGTGGAGACAGATCCTCATCACGGGAAGGTAAATTTTGGCTCACGCGTGCACTATATACGCTGAGCTCGTTGATGATCCGTTCATCGGACGAGTTCATGATATCTTTAGCTCCATTTTCAATGATCGTACAGCGAACGATCCGATCGGCTAGTAGTATGCTCTTCAGATACATCATACAGCATAGTTATTGTTAGGAACACAATAGGTGATATATTTTTGTATCTTGTTTACGTACCTGAATCGAGAAGTGGCTGGTATCGAGGTTTGAAGCTTCACTATCGTCTGTATACCGGGATATTATTTCGATGACATGTTTTGTAGATCGACGCAATTGTTCCGCTAGTCGCTTTTCCACTGCAGCGAGCCATTGTTCGACTGGACCTCGAGCTTTCAGGTTCTTACCCATCGGAATTGCCTCCGCTTCTCCGTAAACCCGTGATGTTATCTAGAAACGAGATCATCAGTATTTTCGATACATGAAGAGTTATCACTGGTATATGACGAACCTGAAGGATATCTTGAAACCCGTCTCGAGTGCCAAATACAATCCTACCAACATTGTCAAAGCATTGGTACAGAAACGACTGGATGCAGCTCACATCTCGACATTTTGACAATAGCGTCGCCAATTCAAGATCTGAAAGCTGAAAGAAAACAGGAAACACTTGACGCTTAATCTGTAAATTGCAGCATAAGCATAAGTAAAATAAATAATCACTTTTTTTAGAAATAAATTACTTACCTCAAGATGTTCTGCCAGTATCTTCGCTGCAGCTTCGAACCCTTCCAATATCACTAACAGCGACTGACGATGCTCCGTACTCACTCCAAACGGTAAACACTGTGGACGATTAAAGAGTCCAAGCGTCAACGTACGCCACGAAGTATCATGCTTCTGTAGCTGCTTGGCTTGTTCTGGAAAAGTCCGTGCAAAGTCGATGGACACCAATCGCTGTGTATAGTCCCATTTGCGTTGACAAACTAGCAATAATTCCAGTGATTCTTTAGTATGATTCAGATCCGAAATCATCTTCGGTAGTCGTTCTTGTATCACTAGAGAATACGTGGACAAATCCATGACTCGAAGAAGCACTTGACTCTCCTCAATAAGCGACGTGAGCTCGTTACAGTCCCCGATACAGTACGCATCTCGTCCATCTCGATCTTTCCTGGGTTCAAGTGGAATCTCTTGAGCTTCCCAAGTGCGTACGAGACTCATGAAGCTCCCAGCGATCGCTGCTTCAGCTGACGCCTCCTCTGATATATGACGAATAGCTGTAGCATGGGCGACAACGTTGGCGTCCAGTAATTGCTGCATCTGCAGATCCAGACGAGTACTGGTACTTGTACTGGTATCAGCTTCCTCGTCTTCCGTAGATTCCGTGGTTTCAACGATAACAGGCATGAGAGAGCACAGCATCTTGTGCTCCAACTTGCTCCAATGTCGCTCTACCAAGTGGGGATTGCGTAGATCTCGAATTACTGGAGCAAGCCCATGTAGAGTGGCTTGTAGTTTCTCCAGACGTTCAAGCTCAAAGCCACTAGCCACTTGAGTAGCGCACGCTCGGATTTTATCTACCACTAAGTCGATGTGGCTAGCAACTTCGTTCATTTTTTCTAAGTCGACAGAGCGAATAGTATCCACGCTGCACGTACTTAAGTGTCCGTCCGCCTCACAAACAACTTCCCAAAGTTCCTAAAATTAATATATATGGTTAGGTTGCTACTCTTTAAAGAAAATAGTGGGGAACGTACGCTTTTGAGCTTCAGTTCGGCGGCTAATTCGTGTAGATCTTCGTAATTCTTGGTGGGTGGACGGGTACCAGTTGAAGACTCCTCAAACACTCGCTGGATCCGCACTAATCGACGAGCTTCTTCCTGCATTTGCTCGGCTTCTTTATTCAGTTTAACAGCATTGTCGCGTGCGTCCTGGCATGTATTGCTCTGAGCTGCCATCGCTTCATCACTTGCTGATGATTGTAAGATATTCGTTCTACGAGTCAGCTGAAAAAAAATCAAAATGTCAGATTTCTGTGTACATTTTTTGTAGTTTTTTTTTTTACCTTTGCCAAATTTTCATTGAGCAAAGCAGTGTAGCTCTGCAGGTCGTTGTCACGATTCGTACACGCTTCCAACACGTGGGACTTTAGAGCGTGAAACTCCGGATCACACAGTACGAAAACTTTGATTGTTTCAACTGGAGCAGGAAATTTGAGGGTGTCGAGAACACCGAAAAACTCGTGGAGAAAGGCAAGGTCCAGCTCTCTATCGTGAATTTCATCGTATACGTCCTATTTGAGACAAACAGAAAAAGTAAGTAATCTTGTTCCAAATACTCGGAATAGCTTACGAACCCGTAAATTCAAGAGATACGTGGTGAAGGCGTCTAGATCCTGCGTGATCGGCTTCTCGATCTTGCTGCTGGAGACAGTAATATATTGAAGAAATTGATCACATCGTTCACGCGTCAATCGAGGCAGCAGATCTCGCATGGCATCAAGACATCGAGAAGGGGATGGGAGGAGTTCTGCTTGAAGTTGTTGCATGCTGAAGTGAAGAAATTCTACATTTGTAGACATTCTGAGTGTCTCCAGCGCTCGGAGCTGGAAAACATACATTTCAGGTTAATTTTTGTCAAATTTAACAATTATTGAAAAATATAAATTACCTGATTCGTGAAATTTTGAGCATCATCTTTCATCTCTTCCAGCGTGTACTCGTTTCGACGAAATAGTCGCGCCTTGAGTTCAAAGTTGACACTTTCGTTCTGTTGTCGAAGCTCCAATATCGTAGAATACGACGCTGCGAGCTCCTCGGCGCCATTCAATGCACTGCGTACAAGTTCTTGAATTTCATCTCGAATTGACAAAAACTGTATGTCTTCCTCCATCCTTTCCAGAAGACGATCAGCAGGACATCTGAAACGATCGTCATCGTCACTCACACTATTTCCTTCGTCTCTTTCATGTCGCGTCGAATTTAAAGACCGAGAGCTAGCTGAAGACCCGAAACTTGAGTACAAATTTAACGCTCGAATGTCGTTTGCGAAGGCGAGAACGGAGCGAAGTTCTGGGTTCGAAAGCAGCGGTGGCACGTCACGGAATGCCTCAGTAAACCCGGTGATGATATCTTGTAGTACTCGCACCAGAACGGTAAGTTCAGGTTTAAAACACAGCTGATATCTCTGTCGTCCTCGCTTCTCCACAATAGCACTCGTACTCGCATCCAGTGTGAACAGCGGCTTAGGATGAAGACACGGGATTGATAGTACTTCTCGCTCCACTAACGACATATTTCCGGTAGAAGTTTCACAGTTATTCGCGTCATTCTCCGTCGTAAAAATCGAAGTTTTTGACGCGGTGAACGATGGAAGTACCAGCAGTTGAATCAGCGCATTTTCTGCGACGAAGTAAAAGTCATCGACGCTGAAAGTATCGGTGTTTAAACCGCTCTTCTTGCTTAAACCATAAAAAAACAGCGTTTCCAGTTTGTTCTCCATTGTGGCGATCGAAACTGTGACCGCCTCCTCCGTAACGTTCGAGCCTAGCTTCCCTTTCCACGCAGCATGAAGAATAGCTTTAATTTGCTGTCTCGTAAGAGGAGCAAGCTGTCGTGGTTGGCTTGGATCTATACTTCCCTCTGTAGAGGGACTTATACTCTGTCGAGCGACGTTTACAGTCTGATGCAGCGCCAATGCGAGGTCATCATGGTCCGTGAGACGCGTAATGGTTGCTGCATTAGCACCACGTAGTATGAAGGCATGGAAGAGATCCAGGCTGCGCTTGATCACGTGAGAGTGCGCGTCCAATAGTAAAAAATCCACAAGAGTGACAAATTTTGTGAGCTGTTTGCATTTTCGACGCTTGATCGACGCCATAGTCCACCGAATATCTTCCAGTTCTTCTGAATGTCGTGGAGGCTTCAGGACTCGCATTGTTTGAGCATCTTCTGGTAATGAAGATAAAGTACTTCTCGCTTCTGCAGCTTCTGAGGTTGTAAAGCGAGATGATCGGAAGTGCTTGTGCTGTAAGAACTGCTGGTGCGCAGATGCCAGTCCTTGCTCACACTGAACGTAACTCTCTAAAATGTGATAGTTGCTGCTCTTTCGGACGGATAAAGCGAACTCGTGACCTGGAAAACCCGCGTGTAGTGGGGCCTTGTCGCCCAGAAAAACTCGACAAATTTTGGTCAAGATGGACTGAACTCGCGTTGTGATTTGGCGAAGAATTTTCGTGCAGGTTTTCAGGAATTGAACCTAAAAGAAAATTATGAATTAGACAAATAACAACATAGTAAATGGATACGTACGTTTGCAGTCGGGAAGTTCTCTAGTGACGACGTGTCGCCGTTGAAGTCCCACATAAGCTGTAGTTTTGATAAGCTGTTAAGCTCCATCCGGATCTCTTCCATACCATTTAGTAACACCGGATACGAGAAATAGCAGTCCGCAAGCAGGTGTTCTCGTGCAGCTTCGCGTTTGTTGTGCTGCACCCACTGCCTCCATGCCACGAAGACTTTACGATACCGGAATCTAGAGCGATTACAAGAAAATCAGTTTTAACTACTTTACCTGAAATGTACCGGCAAGCATGTCCACCTTGAAAATGTCGATAAATTTCGAAGTTCGGTGAAATTTGCCTTTTGACCTTCCCAATCGCGCAATGAGAGGAAAGTCGACTGAAAGCCGTCGGTCTTCAGGTGAAACGTGTAGCCTGATTGACTGATCGTGTAGTAGTCCCAGCGAGCATCCTTCATCTGGCTGATACTACCGTCCCCAAACAGAGCCTCCTGTAAAAAATCACAAAAAGTTGTTGAATTTAAAAATGTCAATAACAAAGCTTTGGAATCACGTACATGGGTGACTGGTACGATGTCATAAGGGTCGTAAGGTAGCCCATGTTCCAGAAAATGACGAGGAACTGCATACACAAAAGTGTTGTCGCTGTGACCTCGCGTCGAAGCAAGTAACCTGTCAGCTACAGCATATTTCATGAGTAATACAGTTTAACAAAATGACAATTGTGGCAAACCTCGTGACGATGCCGGACGAGATCTTGAAGCCGACATCCTTCGCGTCGCATTTGTAGCACGTGACACCACCGACAGACAGCTAGCAAGCGATGAGGTACTTTTCTCACGAGCTCGAAAGGGCTGGTAACGAGTGCTAGCTGCGGCCGAGTGAGGCCTTTTTACTCCACTCAACGCTTTGGCCGATGCAAATTTGGTCGTCATTTCCGCATACCGATTCGATTCTTCCGAGATTTTCGCACCTGTACGGTTGAATGAAGGCGTAGAAACCGCTGAAAATGGCCGCTTCGATGATTTTACTGCAGTTGCGACCCCTGATCTCAGCGCATCCTCTTTATTGGACATTAATACAGACTCCAGATCCCTTTGCTTCATCAACTCTGATTCGTCTTCCTGCTGGTTGTTGCTTAAGACTGCTGCAGAATCTTGTACAAGCTGCATCCGATGACGACTCACCTGTCGGCTTACTACAATAAAAAAAATGAAAGAATTAAAAACTAAAATTAATACTTTTTTTTACACTATTATAGTACCTGCATTGGCCGACTTTGGTCGCATTGGGGGCTTCATGAACACGCCCTTCTCATTGTTGGACGATGCAACTCCAGGTGCTCGTGGAGTATGCTGTGGAGCTGCCGAGCCGGGCCGAGGACTCTGAAGTCGCTGTCGAAGCTGCAAGGAAATGCGTATAAGCTAAGGTTTTGATTCTTTTGTGTAGAACATGGAAACGGTTATTGCACCAGCAGCGAGGAAGATTCCTTCAAAGCGTTGACCGTCGAAGCAAGGCGTTCCGGTCTTGAAGCACATGTTGATGTAACCAAGTCATAGGCATGTGGAGGCAACGAGCTGCGCGAGGACCCCGCGGTACGAGGCCGCAGCTTCGGAGGGGCCCCAAAGCGCAGGTGGTCCTGCATTGCGCAGAACACCTTCGTTGCGACGGTTCACTTGTCGCAAAAAACTTGAAGTGTATTAATAATTATTGTTATCATATAACGCCAGTCAATATTTTTTAACAGAAGCATTTATGAGATAGCTTTTAAAATATATTTTTATTTCTGAGAAAAATTGCTTCGTTTAAAATATAAAAAAAAAAACATTCTATATTGATAAACAATTATATTGTTCATGAGCACTTTAACTTCAACAGTAGTCTGTTAGACCGCTTTTTACTTTCATCATTGGCTCGTAATGTATTTCCAGACGAGAAGTTAAGTTTCCAGACGAGAAGTTAAGTTTCCAGACGAGAAGTTAAGCCAGTGATCATTTGTGATGCCGCAGTGAGAAGCGTGTAAAGTGGTGAGCGAGTGGTTCGTAGCCAAACTCTCTTTCAGCGCAATAGCTGCTGTCGCTGTGAGCGGGTTGTCATCTATGTTTAACCAGCAGAGCTGCTTGCTGTACTGCAGCAGATACGACAATGCCAGATAGCCTTGCTTATCGTTAAAGATACACAACAAGTTGTCGGACATGTCGAGCGCCGTCAGTGTCTTGTGGAAAGACAAGGCGCCCAGTAAAATTCTACAGCCTTGGGGCTGCAAGTCATTGCTAGCAACACTGTAATTGGTAACAAGACGCGGAGGATTATTAGTTGTAATTTACAACCGTGTAGTCATCACAAGGGGGGCATTGCACTCACTTGACGTAGCAGAGTCGCGATCTGACCGATTGAATTCCCTTTGCTAACGCTAGAACCCCCTCGTGTTGCGGTCGGTACGCGCTGCCGGCGAGGTCGCATGCCTCCAGCTCCAAAAACTGCAGCGTATTGTTCGTCACCAAGGCGCTGCCCAGCAATCGAGCGCCTTCGGGTCCAATCGGGTTCTTGGATAAACTACATGTAGACGACGCGGAGATAAGGATGCGATCTGCTACATCAACACAACAGGATTGAGGCGTAGGATCGCACCACAGTCGAACCAGCGGCGTGTTGATCTGCGATACAAAGTCTAGTAAACCGCCGATCATGCGCTCCGGAGACACGCTGCGGTTATCCATCAGCAGCGCAATCTGCCGATCATCCGTGTCTCCCTCTCGTCGTTCACGCAGTACAAGGACGTACGGGCACAAAACGTGTGGCAATTCCGCTGCTGCGCTACCTTCTGCATGAGCTTGGAGGAGTTGCTTCTCCGTCATCTGCTCTTCAGTCCAAGAGGCTCGCAATAATAATAGACACGAACGACAGAACCATAAGTTCAGACAGCCATCTGAACATAAAGAATTTTGACAGAATTTGATTGGTCGTAATACAAAATCTAAGTTACAATAAATTCTGTCAAAAGTTCGTTAAGTCCAGATCCGGGCATAAAAACGTGTTTCGGCAGAGTTAAAACGCGTAACAACAAGCTAATCAGTGACGATACGTTTTTTGTTTTACTTGCCGGTTTTCTTGATCTGAATGGAGAGACCCAGCAGGAACACGACGAGCATCGCCACGAGGTATCCCCACCATTCCTTGGGGACGTTGTACACGTAGTCGCCGTCCTCGTCCTTGTAGCGGTAGTCCTTGATAGCCGTGAGCTTGGGGAAGTCTCCAATGAAGTAACCAGCGCCGTTAATCAGCACCACCGAGCCGACCAATGCCGTGGCCACGATGATGGCGAGACGCTCGACCTTGAAGGCTATGAGACCGCAGATTAGACCCAGTACGATGGCCAGGATGAGCAGACCCGTAGTGGGGTCGTTCGGGTAAATTCTGTAGCCGAAAGACGCGTTAACGATAGTGGCCAGGAAGACGCCGCCGGCAGCGCCGATGAGGAAGATGCCTGCGTTGTAAACCGTAACCACGAGACAGCCCAGAGCAATACCGCCAACGAGGAAGGCGATCCAGAAGGCTGTGCGCTCATACGATTGGCCGTCCACAATGTACTCGACGATGGCAGAGACGATGTAGCCGCCAACAAGGAAGCCACAGGCGAACATGGTGGGGCGAAGTAGTTTGTAGCCACATGTGGTCATGGCAGCACCGCCGATGATGGCGATGACAGCGGCAATACCGGGACCCACATCGATGGAGTCGGAGATGTCGCCGACGATGCCCTCAGTAGAAGAGGAGCCGCGAAGAGAGGAGTCGGAGCTCGAGTCCGAGTCGAAGGTCAGTGCTGCAGCCATGGACATGTACAGCGCCAGCATGGGCAACAGCAGCAGCAGCGGCTGCAGCTTGGACGATGTCATTGAGGTAGTAGACCGAATTCCTTCTTGAATAAAAGTCGGCAATTCTGGAAGTGAGGGAGTTCAGGTGGTGCCATCCGGACAGTGCAGATCAGCCTATCCTGCACAGACAACAGCTGGCAAGCCTTTGGATACATTTTGAATGGAATGTCAGGTTTCCAGTGATTCTATTGGTTATTGAACAGTGATATATCGTAAATGATTCATGGAAGGATGGTGATTGGTCACGTAGAAGGATTTTTGGATTTTGAAACCCATTTTTCGCAATAAAGAATCCAGAGTCTGTGCATGGCCTCGGCAAGAATCCGCGACCGCATTTGACTCGACGCGTCTCAGAACGCTTGATTCTGCTGCTCGTACACCGCCAAGTCGAGTAGTCGAGTAGCTTCTGTGTTTCTGCGAATAAATTCGTCGTAGGTGAGCAAAACTCGTTGATCGATGTCATGACAGTCTCCTACGTCCACCGATAAATACTTGCGAACTGGGGTTCCACATGAAGAAGCCAGAAGCCACTTGAGCTCTTCTCTGCCATTGCTTGACGTGGACGCAGTTGATTTTCTGTTGTTGACCACTCGACGTGATTACCACTGAAAAAGTCTTCGATTCAATACTTTCAACCTACTTCATTAGCAATCTATTTTTTTTACAGATAAAATTACGGAGGCACAGAGTTAAGCATGGTGAGCTCGTCCACTCTAGTTGGCGCTAAGTGCAAGTCGCCTGCCTCAATTTCGAACTCGCTCAAATTCGTTTCATTCGTTATGTAGGCGTCCCGATGCTTGCGCCAGCCAAATGGACGTCGGCGCTTGTGTGATCGATTAGGTGAATGTTGACCCAGTCGGCCTACAACTACATTCAAGCAACCTTGTACGATTGTGATCCAGTCACATTCAAGCTACCTTATGGCTTCAACTTAGGGCTAGTTGGCTGTACTGCTTGCAATGAAGAATACCTTCGAGGGAGAAGTCAGTTAGTGACGTTCGATAGTCGTTCTTCACTACTCCAATCATTGAGAAGTCGGATTCGACCGTAGCTGTATTCGGGAAAGCTGAAGCAATACCAGGGCAGAAATCAGCAAGAGATGGAAAGCGAGTGTAGATATCGTCCCAACACTTTTTAAATCCTGCTCCACTCTTTTGATTTCCAATATCATCTCTCGAAGTGGTTCTTCTTTGCGGAATGCGCGTTGTAACTGAACGAGTGGGTCCCCTATAGCTTCAACATGCTCAGGAACTTTATAATGATGCAAAAGTCGAGAGCGGTGGTGGTCGAGTATCTTTGCGAATGTAGTTATGTTCACATTGATAAGTTGATGCAGTAAAACCTTCGGTGTTGACGAAACGAAAGGTTGGTTAACGTCATTTCGCTCTGCTACGATCTTGAAATGCCGTCCGCCTGTACAACACTCGAGCTGTGCACCGGCCACACAGAGTTTCGTGTTTTATTTTTGCAGTTTCTGGATGCTTAGTTTTTTTAATTTTGAGGTTTTTCTGCAAAATCTCAATTTTAAGGAGGTCTGGTCATCGTAATGTACCCAACCTTCGTCACTTGGGCTGGTTCGAATTGACGCTGATGATGGGGAGACGAGTGGCTTCCACCTGTAATACTGGTGTCGACAGTGCTGGTATTCAATCCGCGTTTCCTCCGTACTGACAGCTTCTCCTTGATCTGTAGGTTGGTACTTGACTGTCAAATGACCTCGGATCCAGAACTCTGGGTCCCCCTTACGTGTTTCAGAGTTTAAAACTACCTTTGAATCCTCTGAATAGAAATTAAGTGACGTGAGTCGGATAACACGCTACAACAGAGGCGACGTGCCTATAGCATTGATACACGCTTGTAAAGCAAACTCGCCAAACTCAAATAATGTCACGTGAAGAGGTACGGAATTGCCCTTTGAGTGTTTGTGAAGCACTCGACACGAGATAATTCCACGTATGGTTCCCAGTCCTTAACAAAATGTTTGTGTATCGCACGAAATGAAGGAAGGTGAGGGGAATTAAACCTCGGTTTAAGCCACTTAACAAGTGCATCAAGTAAGTTACGCCAGAATCCGACAAGGCGCACTCGGTTGATCATAGCAACAAGGACAAAAAAGACCAGATCGTGATCGTCAACTGCCTGGATCCACGTGGTCTGGATTTTATCCATTGCGTCCAGTTCATACAAGTAGTCAGTCAGCCGTTCAGTGAGGTTTCTTCGCATTTCGGTTTTTGCTTAAAGTCGCGGTCGCTACCAGTAGCTCCATCCACGTACCCAGCGTCACTTGTCTAACTGCAGATTTGAGGCAACAATATCAAATGCAATCCCCCATGCCAAC